GGTAGTTATGTATATATATAAGCCACTAAGAACTGACGGCAACAGTGTGTATAATTGACAGTTGAGTCGAGCACGTAAGACGTTCGTTATTTATTATAGCGTTTGTTATAGCGCGACTGTGGAAATTAAGTGTATTGCAAAGTTGTATTCAGAAAGAATAAACCAGTTTTACTTAAGAAAGGACTTGTGTCGCTAAAGTTTCATCGGAAAGAAATTTTACGGAGAATTAACTAACGAATGGAGGCGTAACAATATTTTTGATTCTTACTAACGTCTTTTTTTTTCTTCTTAACTACTCTCTTAACTTCCTGCCACATTCTTCTAATTTTCTACCTATTTCTTCTTTAACTTCTCTAAATAATTTCATCATTTCAAGTAATGGTTGGATCTCACTACTTGATTTCGTGGTCGCCCTCTTCAACAGTTCAAGTTTAGTAAAAATGCTATTGTACTTTTATTTCATTTTCATCAAATAATCCCACTTCTTACATCATAAGTTGTGACTTGGTTCTTACATATTATCAGATGAAAATAATTAGACGTTCAGTCCACTTAAACGAAAGTAACTGAATTTATTTCTTCTTTCAACATTATTACAAACTCGAATACTATTGTAACTTGTAGGACTAAGTCTTTAGCCACACTATCTGTACTACTCAAAATAAAAATCAACTTACTTGTACAAAATAGTGCGTTAGCTAACACAGACTCACCCTTGGAAATCACTCTTGAAACAACTTTCCTTTAATCTAATTTCAATTCAACTAACTAAAGCTTCATGGAACGTCGTTATATAATCTACGTTTACTAGAACTTTACGTCACATCCTTAGAACAAGACTTTAAATCACATACTTCGGAGTTTTCTTGAAATTCTAGGCCTATTTTAACTTACTAAACATAATATTATCATTAACGTCCCGCAGCTTCCTCTAACTGATAAATGACATCTTCCTCTAGCTAACAAACAAACTATAACATTAAATACACACACACACACACATATATATATATATATAGAGAGAGAGAGAGAGAGCTTATAATATTACTATTGAACAACAGTGTAATTTTTCTGTGGTTTGAAGTCATTCACGTGTTTTTAACTGAATCATTCTGGCCAAAGGTTTTTCCCACTGTTAGGAAACTAACAAAAAACATGGCCACTCACTTTGTTATATTTATAAAATATTGATGGTCATGTTAATAAAATACTGTAAAATATTTGTTCAAGTTATTGATAAAAAAGTTTTTACTTTTAGTATTTCGGAATGTTATAACTAATATGATGTAAATTAGTCGCTGTAACTAATAAACAAGAATATCTCTCAAAGTTTTTAATTACATAAATTGTCTCGCTCATTTGAATAGGTGGAATATAGGTTACTAACGTTAACATTTTAAATGTGCAAGTTAATTACATTAGTTATGATTCAGCTCCTAATCTATGCTTGCATGCTTATGATCCTGAAGAGACTTCACACTCGTATATGCTCTGTTACGTTATTTCCTAATTAAAGTCCAAGTTTACGTAAATATAGAAAGTCCTACTTCATTGAGAAGAACGATCTCGCTTCGTAACGTTATATTATTTACGTCATTGTTATTTCCATACCTTGATCGATCAGATAAGCCTTGTTTCGTATTGCCAAAAAATGTTTAAAATATAATAATGGCCATAAATCAGAATATGATTGAAAGTTTCTTGTAACGAAAACGTTTACCTAATACTTTTAACTGTTTCAATCTCAGAATATAAAAAAGGCTTACTTTCACTTCCCATCTCACTTCAGTTTACCACTTTAGCGATATGGCGAGGTTATCCCTGCCTAAGCACCAGCACGTAAGTGCTACTGTTGGTAGGACAATATGATTTGTTAGGACAGTACCCTGTCTAAAAACGTCACCACATAAGGCTTATCTACTCGATCCAAGTATGAGAAGTACAACTGACGTAAACTGAGTGGCGTAAGGAGGTGAAATATCTACGCTCGATATGAAAATTAATCAACCTTTATATATGCCATTGAGGTATGAGAAGAACAACTGACGTAAAGTGAGTGACGTCATTAAGTCATCACTCTACTCTGTGTGAAAACTGAACGACTGTTCCCACAGCCACCAGCAGTTGAAGCAGGGTTTTAAAGGACTTTGGGCTGCGCTATATTTTGGTTTAGAATAAATTTTATCATATTGGATAATTCAAAAAAGAAACTTCTGCTACAAAAAATAAATAAATAAAATAAAAGAAAAACATCTGTTTATTATTTGGAAATTGCTTCAAATTCCATCAAAAAGTTAGTTCGCAATATTCTTACTACAAAAAACATCATTAGCTATTAAACGAGTTGTTCAGATTGCGAATACCAATACTAAATACATAATAAAGAGAGGTGAAGTCAATTTCCACGTATTCTAAACATAAAAAGAGGAGAATGAATGTGGCCAAAAATGTGATAAAACAATTATCTTTATGTTAGAAAACAATAATAGTAATTTTTCAGTTTCGTCTTATTACTGCAAAGCATTTTCTGTTAATAAAGTCTATGGATGAGAGTGTATGTGTTTGTTAAAATATAATAATAATAATAACAGCTCCTTAGGAAATCCCTAAAGTTCGTTATTTGAAGATCTATATGTGAACCTTTCTGTCAAACTTAGTTTTTCTTTACTCTGTTTTACAAGATATTGAGTAAGAATGTTATTTCCTCAGTGTCACATGATAGTGTTAGCATAAATGAGACTCGAAAAGCCCTGTTAAACTTACGCAAGAAAAGTAATAATATTTTAAAACTACTCAAAAAAGTTTTATAGTTGTTTTTTATGTATTCCTAAATGTGTTAGATTAAATTGTATTTTAAGCTCCATTTTCTATCTTTGTTATATATTTAATTCAAACGTATATTTAAACTTTAAACTACAAATAGTTTCTAGTGTTATATTATCATACATATAGGCATCGAAACAGAAGGGTGGGTCAGCACCCAAATTACCCCCCTAAATTTCGTTAGGTTTACGATTCCCTCCAACCTGAACTTTGTTTTTGTTCCAAAATAATGACTCGCACTATAAATATATAGAGGTTCTAAAATGAATTTCTCTGTGAATATAAAGAGTCGAAAGATAAAGATATTAAATATAACAGGTCACGTACGTTCGCCATTAAACTACTTATTTTCACTTTCATTTCACCAGCATTTATTTCGCTGATTTTTATTATATCTTAACCTCCACTGCATTAAAATAAGTCCAAATTAATAAGCTAATTGTGGGAATATTCCGGTGTGGGGCGTGCTCCAAACCTCATTCTTGCTTCTATCAGCTTTTCAAAGGTACGCTGTTGACAAGAATAATTCTTTTCCATCTTTGGTCCTTTCATAACAAGTTTTGCTTTTGCTAATAATGCCTAAGTTTTAAGCCAAATTTATAAAATCCAAGAAGCTGACGATCAAACCACGCAAGAAACATAAACAGTTGGTAACCAGAACTTTACATGGTGAACATAGCAAGAACGTAAAGAAAAGTTGTTTTTATGCTTCAGAACAAATTAGCAAAATCTTTTTTAAAGTATGGACATGGTGTTACTATCCTCATCAGTCTGTTAAATTAGTAAATACAGCATTTGTAGTCATGCACTTCATATTAATTAATAAAATACAAATATTTTAGAATTTTAGCATAATAAAACACAACAGATTACCCTCTCCCCGCTTCTTGTGGAATCCTTTTGGCTTATTGGCTTTGGTCTGTGATAATTAATTTTTTTTTTCGAAGTGTATGTGAACAGCAGCTTTTCGTCAGACAGTTAATAACTCACTTATTATCACTTTGAACGATTTTATTATTATTTTTTGATGTAAAGTCATTAACGTATTCTTTCTTCTTTTCACCGAAATTACACGTTTTGAAGAATAACAAAAATTCACACAAAGATCATTCTTTTTATTGAATCTATACAAACGTTTTTGGTTTTCGGATAGATTACACATATAACACAAAAACAAAAATAGCGGGAAATAGAACGTAGTTCACCTGTTAACATATTAATATACAAATATATAGTGGCAGAGCGTATTTTTTAAACAAAATATTTTGTTTGGAAAGTTCCTCAGAAGAGCAACAAAGCATATGTACTTTAAACTCTTTAAACAGGGATTTTATTTCACGGATTTGTTTATACGTTATTATATTTTTAATTTTGAAAATATCACGAAATGTGTTGAATACGTTTGTTGAAAAGTACGCCGAGTCAATTTAAGGCATTTAAAGTTATATTACGTTTTTAATTAGTCAAGCGTCTATAAGAGCATTAGGAATATAGAACAGGTTGTTTAGTGAATAAATGAGTTGCAATAAAACATATAGATAGCATATCATGTACTTTAACTTCATATTATTCCATATGTACCAGTTGCATTATGGTTCTCAAATGTCCTTTTCGTTCAGTTTTTTCTCTATTTTTACAGTTTTGTGGAATATTTATCTACTTGATGTAGAGTTCTGTAACAAACGAAATCAGTACCACACCTTTTTTATTTACATTTTCTTGTTGTAATGTGTTCTTTTAGTTTCAGTTTCAGTATTTATCTTTAATAATAGTACCTTTGTAATGAATAAATAATAACTTTAGTAAACTTGGAAATAGAAGACCAAGTTTTTCAACAAGGTTCGTGGGCTTCACTGGTAGGCCCGCTTTTATACGGCGTGGGTTTTAGCGTGGTGAAACCATTCTCTACTTATCATCTAATTTTCATGTTCTTTCATCCGTGTTGGATTTGATAATGTTTTGATACAATGGATTAAAGTGGTAATTGAGATCTTTCCCACGCTCATAATTCCGGATCTCGAGGTAGTGGGTGTTAGGACATACTTAGGAAAAACTCTTAACACATGTCCTTGAGGTATAGTTCATGATCAATAAGTTATTATACAGTTTCCATAGAAACACAGACGTCATCTGCGCTGTTAGTTCGCACTACAAGGCAGTAAAAGTTTCAAAGGGAAAGCGATTTACGCTTTTCTCTCCCATTCATTGATATCTTCAGATTTCACACATGGTGATGGTTACTCTAACTGACATGAGTCTTAAAACGTCAGTATTCACGATCTTGCTATCACCTTAGCGAAAATATACAAATTCAGTTGGCTAGGTTCAGAACTGACAAAGAAATAAATCTTGTTGCTACTGAATAATTCTGCGTTTCTTTGGAGATTATAATTTTCTTTCTCATCAGGTAAGTTATTTTATATTTTCTATATATATATTTGTTTGTTAAAGATATGTGCACTCTACTGCTGTGAGACAAGATTTGGGTTTCGTTGTTTTATTATGGTATTCGGCCAAGAATATAGAGAATATAGGACTAAAGTTTAAATATACTACATTCTCTGCTACGAGGACATTTGTGGACGACATTTACTTAAAGAGCGACTAAATAGGTTTGGAAGAATACGCTATTGGTAAGTTCTGTTTATCAAAATCAAGTAGTTGATATAGGCCAATGGCGTAGGAAGCTGGGGAACAGGGGGGGGTCTGGCCCCCACTTTCAATCTGTCCCAATAAAAATGCATCAAATTAGGAAAATTTCTCTCGGGAGAATCAGGAGAATGCATACAATTTAATCTAGGGCCTAAGGTGAGCCCCAGAACCCAGCCGTAATGGGTGCCTCTCAATTATTCCTGTAGCACACATTCCCTTGCTTCGATCAGGCAAAAAAATCCTTCCCCACTTTTAATTTGCTTCGTTCACCTCTGTAGGTTTATTTCACGTGATAATAAAGAAGCTTCAATGTTCACAATTTTGAAATTCTTTATAATTATATATATAACAGACCTCGCCTAGTCTTGGGCTTCACAATGAGTCCCCCCCCCCTGGCCTTACAACTCTACATTAACTATTGGTTTCATGATCTTAGTATGTATACTGAAAGTTGGGTCCCTGGCCTTACAACTCTACATTAACTATTGGTTTCTTGATCTTAGTATGTACACTGAAAGTTGGGTCCCTGGACTTACAACTCTACATTAACTATTGGTTTCTTGATCTTAGTATGTACACTGAAAGTTGGGTCCCTGGACTTACAACTCTACATTAACTATTGGTTTCTTGATCTTAGTATGTACACTGAAAGTTGGGTCCCTGGACTTACAACTCTCTCTCGGTTGTTGGATTCCTCATCCTACATTTCCATACTGAATATTGTCTTTCAGGCTTTACACTTTTACTGTTGGTTTCCTGGCCTTACATCCTTATACTTGGTATTGACTTGCTAATGGTACACTCTTGCATGAAGTGTATACCTGGTTTCACAATGAATGAAAATTTCGTGGTCTTGTATTTCCACACTGATTGTTGGTTTTTGGTCTAATATCCAGGGCTTAAACATGGGCTGAATGGTCCAGAACGGCGTTCTGCCTCATGACGATTCAAGATATTAGTGTTCCTAGTTTTCTGACTGGACCATGCTACTACAAAGTGGATCACAAAAGATAGTAACGCCTCTTTTAAAATCCCAATTTAGCCACTTCTTTTGTTGGTTTTCTAGCTTTACACACTTGCATTGAGTCATAATAATGGAAATTATCGTTACCTATACATGAAACTAGCTTAGATGATACATGTTATCCACTTTGAAAACAAAAGAAAAAAATCAAATTAATTTAATACAATTTGAACTATGTAATCGTTCTACTGAAGATAGTAATGGTTGAACCAGGAAGAAGATAAAGACATTTATTTAGTGTTCTTGTACGATAATCAATGGCTAACTGGTCTCCAACATATGATAGAAGTAAATCAAGTTATACCTAATAAATGGAATTTCGATTTATTTCTTTGTTGGTAAGCACAAAGTTACACAATGGACAATCTATGCTTTACTTACCGCGGGTATCGAAACCCGATTTTACCGTTATAAAAATTCAGGTTTAGTAAAAGATCGAGAGTTCCACCTTGTTCCACTGCAATGCTAGACATCTATTTGCCCCTCCTTCAATATACAACCAATTAGTCAACTATTTATCTGTTTTATTACAAATTGTCTTTAGTAGTTTATTCATGTTTTATTTTTACTGTGACTAGAGCATGAGAACAGCAGCTTCTATATATATTTTTTCACATCCCACAATGTAATGCCTCCACGGTGAGACTTACTATTGGAGACAAATGTCAATTTATTTTTTTCCAAGGAAGGTTATTTGTATAGCGAGATTTTAAACGTTGTAGAACTGAATGACACAACATTTCGATGAAGGGAACTTTCAGAGTTCTCTGTGAAAGTAAAAAAAAACAAAAAACTCTTACAGCAGAGCCATTACAGAGCAATGGGTCCTGAAACTAAACCTCCAGCCAAACGAGAGGAAAATATTCGATCACCTGTTCATAAATATTTTCCGATGCTGTCCCGATAAATGTTTTTATTTTGTCCTTTAGAGGTGGTCTGGGAAGCTGATGTTCTCGTACAGTGGAAGGTCTGTAGAAAATGTGTTAAGATATGTGGTCTAAAACTGAGCTCGTCATCTTGTAAAGGAGCTTGTTACGAAGCAAATTGTAATATAGGGTAATAGTGAGTGATTAAGACCATGAGACTACGAACGATCAAAGATAGAGGAAGTGGTACCAAAAGCATCATGTGAGATAGCATATTCTACATTTCTATTATTGGTTGTGTTTATCGTTCATTTATTATTTCCTTTTATCGTTTAGTTTATCTATGAATATTTAGTTGCATTAAAACGTTAATTCACCTTCTACATAATCATTTGTATTTTGAGTAAATATATGTGTGTATGATAAAACTGACACCAGCTTCCCTAGCGGTGACGTATAGATACTATTAATGTAGCAGAAGAGTATGTAAATTTATGAACACATGAGGTTGAACTCTCGTGACCTACTCTATGAATAAATACTCTGCAGCAGCTTCACTAAGAGCGAGAGTTAATTATTGAAGGTCGCAGTTATTTCTATTTGTCACTCGATATTGATATTGGAATATTTTTTTTTTGAGTTAGGTTTTTCTTTCTGGTTGTTTTTCCTGATTCCATTATTATTCATTTAGTGTGGATTTTATAAAGTATTATATTAATCCTCAATATAGTTTGAAAGATGGTTTACTCATATTAAACTAAGATGGTTGCGTCTAGACTCTATAGATTATTTGAATCGTGTTTAAACATAAAAATATTAATAATATAACACAAAATCAATCAAACTGCATTGTTTTATGGCATACAGAGAACAGCGTGCAGCATACATTCGGCACACTGAAAATATTTGGTAACAAGAAATTAATTCAAAATAATATACTTGCTAATGAAATTAGTAATTGTTTAGGCAATTCTATTGTTTGAAACTGGTCTTTTGTTGTGTTCTATATTACTGGTAACATCTAAAATATTAACATTTCTACAACCTCACTATCAAGGTAAAGCTTCAACATACCATGAAACACCTGCATTCTCCTGTAATCATGTTTACTTCGAAACAAAACCCTTACTAAAAAAATGGGAGGATATTTGCTTGTTGTTTCTTTCTTCATTACACGAGGTATGTCAGCTGAAACGAAGAAGAAGAATAAAACATAGCGTTCACATTAAAGCTGTATATGTCAAACTATACTTAGATTATGATAGTTTTCACCCATATGAAATGAATTTACACCGAGTTGGGATTATCGTATAGAGAGAGTGGGCATATTCAGCAAACAAAATTGTCTATGTGCTTGTTTTTCTTTGATTTTATCCAAACAAAGATGAAAAAAGCTTATAATAGTTTTAATTTTAAAATATTGTGTCAACACACCCATCTCAAGTAAAAACATTCATTGGCTTCACACAGGCTGAATAAAGCGGCTTGTTTGTTGGATTCTTGGGTGAATGAGCCGTAATTCTAAACTCTGTCATTAGAGAGCTTGGAGTTAGTTATGTAAAACGCCGATAGCTGAGCTGATAAGAAGGCCGCCTTATTAAGTAAGTCCCCATGAAACACAATCTTTAAGTCTGTTTTCGAAGAGTTATTTATGGAATATTTACCATTCTACACAGTTGAAAAAATTTTCCAAAGTATATGCGGCAAGCAGTCTATAGACAAAATATCGTGGCCTCAGATAACATAAGATTACAGTGCCTTGCAAAAGTATTCATCCTCTACCAAAAAGGTTATATTTTGATGAAATACAAATAATATAAATTTTTTAATGAACTTGTTTTCATTCAAAACTCTAATGATCAAACTTAACACTGTTATGTGTAAAGGAAGTTGATTGTCAGCAAACCTGCAAAGAAAATATATAAATTGAAATTTGCTGATTTCATACTTATTCAGCCCCTTAAGTCAGTACTTGATGGAAGCATCTTTGGTAGCAATTACTGCTGTGAGTCTTTTTAGATAGGTTTCTACCAGCTTTGCACAATGGGATGGTGTAATTTTTGCCCATTCTTTCTAACAAAATTACTCCAATTCTGACAAGTTCATTGGGGATCGTTGATGGACTGTAATCTACAAGTCTCGCGATAAATTTTCTATTGGATTCAAGCCAGGACTTTGGCTGGGCCACTCTAGGACATTTACGTTCTTCTTTTGAAACCATTCCAGTGTGGCTTTGGCCTTGTGCTGCTGAAATGTGAATTTTCGACCTAGTTTTAGATTCTTGGCTGACTCAAGTAGATTTTCTTCTAGGATTCGCCTGTACTTTGCCTCATCCATTTTTCCCCTCAATCCTGACAAACTTCCTAGTCCCCGCTGATGAGAAGCATCTCCGTAACATGATGCTGCCACCACAATGCTTGACAGTTGGGATTGTGTTGACTGGGTGATGTGCTGTGTTACGCTTGCTGTGTAACACTTTGAATTCAGACCAAAAACTCAATTTATGTCTTTTCTGACCATAAACACTTCTGCCACATGTCTGCAGTATCATATACATGCTTTGTTGCAAACTTCATACGAGATTTAAGATGACTTTTTACAATATTGGTTTCTTTCTTGCCACTCACCCATATAGGCTAGCTTTGTGCAAGGACAAGGATGTTGTCGATATATGAAACTGATTCCCATCTCAGATATGGAACTTTGCAAATATTTCAAGATCATTGTTAGCTTTACAGTGACACACCTAACCAATTTCCTGCTTGCCCGGCTGCTTAGTTTGGAAGGGCGGCCTGATCTGGGCAGTGACTGTGTGGTATGAAGCACATTCCACTTCTTACTGACGGACTTCATTATACTCAAAGTGACTTTGAGATTTTCTGGTAACCTTCTCCTGATATATGTTTCTCTACCACGTTATCCCTGACTTGTTTGGAAAGCTCCTTGGTCTTCATGGTTTGTTTGTTGTATCACTATGTGAGTTGTGGCTTGAACAGATGCATTTACTCTGAAGTCAAGTTAAACCACCTTGATTACACACAGACAGAGACAATTACACTAATTTTGTGACCTTTCAAACTAATCTTTTGCACCTGAACTGATTACCATAGCAAAGGGGTTGAATATTTTAATTTTCTTTAAAAATCTAACTTACTTACATAATATCGGCGTTTTTTAGCCTTCTCAGTTTAGAGTAGATTGTATAAATTCTAAATATAAAGTACAATTTGAAAGTTTCATGATTGCAAGCTCAGACGGCAACAAAATGTGGAAACTTTGAAGCGGGTGAATACTTTTACAAGGCATTGTATATAAATCATACATAAGATCAGAGATCAAGCCTATTTATCTATCTTTAGTAAACAAACTATATTGCTTTCACAACATATCCATGACAACTTTTGCATTTGTTAAGTGCAAAAATAATCATTGTGAAATACCTCATGACATTATGGCTGCTTATCAATGGCACTACGTTATGACATGATTCATATAAAGTTCAATTACTTTATCTTTATCAATTTTTTAAAAAATGAATTATTAGTGAGAAATATAAAATACAAGCTGAGAGACTCGTCCTTTGTCCGAATTATGAACTGAAAAAATGTGCGAATGGATGCTATGATAAATAACACAAAAATACTAACTTTCACAAAATTTATTTATAACATAACATATTATTGTAATATTCATTATTGCCTCACCAAAAGTTTTGTATAAGCTTTAATAACTTAATGTGCATATAATTAAAACATGATACACAATGTGCGATGGTCAGGGTTACTTTGTAGGAAGAGATAGTGGCAAAAGTAGTTCAGCTGAGTTTATGTATTATTGCAATAGTGGCGGACATTTTTTCATTGAATTCTTCCATAGAGAGTGCTAGCGCGCTATCTGAAATATATAAGACTGTGTGCATGTTGTGTTATAGAAAATTGAATAAAGTTTTTTTTTCTATTGTGTAAAGACGTGGCGCCATCTACGAGTGTAGTTAAATAACGTCAAAGATAATAAATGCTCAATAACAGCAATAATGGGGGTGAGGTTGTGGACCCAATAACATGCCCCTTGCTCAAAATTATCATCCTACAAAGTTTGGTTGAGATTGGCCCAGCGATCTAGGAGTAGTTAGATGACGGACAAACAGACAGATAGACACATAGATTTTTTTGTGGTTTATGTATATATATATATATATATATAACTTACTATTTCTTATTCCAGGAGGTAATACTACCTAGAAATAAAATGCCAGAACAAAGCAACGATTACCGAGTAGTCGTGTTTGGTGCAGGAGGTGTTGGGAAAAGTTCATTGGTGTTAAGGTTTATTCAGGGGACGTTTAGAGAGAGCTATATACCAACGATTGAAGACACCTATCGACAGGTAAGAGAAGTTGCATCATAGATCTACCAGATATTAAATCTTCGTTATTATTATGGTACTCAAACGAGATTCTATACTCAGACAGGGTATATATATATATATACAATGCTAAAGCGATTAAATTCTAATTTCTTTGTCTATATTACTTATAAATATTTCGTTATGAATAAATCATGAACACGTTTCAATGTGTTAGCGAGAATGAAATACGCTTAAATTTTGTTAATCATATTTTACACATGTTAAAACGATAACGTTTTTGTGGTTCATGTACGAACAAGTCATTGTTAAATCAGTATTTTTACAACTTAATATCAAGTACACGCCTAACCTTAAACACCTGCATTATATTGTTACGTCTCTGTGTTCGTTTGTTAATTTCCCGTATAATTTCTTTCTGATGAAACTTAAACGATACAAGTCCTTTCTTAAATAAAACTAGTTTATTCTTTCTCAATACAACTTTACAATACACTTAATTTCCACAGTCACTTTAACTTAAACACACGCTATGATTCACAAAGATTCACGCACTTTACTTACTGTCACTACCGCGCTTGACTCAATTGTCCGTCTCCATCTCTGCCTGTCTGCAATTATCTATGCCGTCACTTTTTTTGCCGGCTTATATATTAGAATAGAGGGCGCGTAGAAAAGACTAGAGTTGCCACGAACGGACATGATCCTTCTAGAATCTCATGACGTGTTACTAGCGTCACGTGACTTCCGCTGTCGTTACAATATTCATCCTTATTTTGTATTTGACTCATTAGCGTTGAGTAACTTAATATGTACATAAAATTATGTATGTAAAAACATCTGCAGTTTACATGATTTCCATCACAAATTTTAGGCCTTGAAAAAACCTAAAGGACTGAATAAAGAAAGTGGTACTAAAAATATAGCTTATATATGATTCGCTAGCTTGGAAAAAGCTTTCACACCGTAATAAGTGTTGTTGTAGCCAACGGCTTATTTCTCCGAAAGGGGGCCGAAGTCAACTATTTATTTAAGAAACAAACAAAATGTTTTTGTTTGTTTGTAGTTAAACACAAAGCTACACAAAGAGCTATCTGTGCTCTGCCCACCACGGGTACCGAAACCCGGTTTCTAGCGTTGTAAATCCGCAGACATGCCACTATGCCTCTTTTATAGACTACTTATTTCATCAGAACTACTCTACGATAGCTAAAAACTGCCACTAGTTAGTAATATCATTGGGCAGTTGTTAGAGTTTTTGTTTAGACTTGGTGAATTGCGTTTGCTAAAATATATCAATATGATTGAAAGATATATAAACATTTTTAAAAGACCAATAAGTACGAATTATAGATAGTAAATTAATCGTGTTTACCATGTTGGACTAGTAGTGTTAGAAAATAGAAACAAGTTTTATTTAAGATATAGGCTCATTGACGTGCCAGGCTGCGGATCGAAGGTGCAAGGTTTGTGCCACGATGTTGCTGAACATGCCCCGTACTTTCTTCAGGGAGTGCATTTGATTGTGACAATCAATCCAGTTATTGAGTTGAAAGTCGGAACAAGCTTTTGTGGAAGTGTCTGTTTCTGAATAGCTGCTTTACTTCTGGTCAGTTGTTCAAAATTAGGACTGGATATACCTGAATCTTAGTTGGGGGTCTTTGGACTGGCCATTTAATCTATGAACGTATAAAGTGTGGTCCAGGTTGAAAATGACAATATTAATACTGTTTGTATAGCTCTGAGAGGTATTTCGCGTTTGTGATTCTTTTTTTTTTTTCGGTTTGAAGTTCCCAGTTTTTTTTTTATATTAGGAACGGGCTGTGACTCAACCCTGTAGGTATCTAATCTAGGTTAAAAATACCAATACCGATATAAGGTTTTTACGTTTCTTGGGCATTAGCACTCAAGCCTCTACTCTGTTAGTATGACATTTCTAGATTGTGTTATACATATACTAGAATGTTTCTAGGTAATAACTCTTTTTTTTCCTTTAGATAAATAGCACTTATAGTATAAGAACTGGCTTGTCCTGGAGTTACAAGATTTTGACGTCAGTTCGACGTCATCCTCGTACAACTCCTCTCTGAGGATGTAGGCGCTTTAATGATTAACCTCTTATGAGTAACGCTTAAGTTTTCAGGGACCTGACATCATAACAATATGGACATGTAATAGTTTAACACAAGCTCACTTGTGGTTCATTAAGTTCTGACATTTTAAAAGTAATTACTTAATTCGGTAAGTTTAATTATTGTATGAAAAATCATCACATGTAACAGAAATATCACGAACCATGTGTGAAAATGAAAGGTGCTTTGTTTTTAGTAATTTTGACAAGCACTGGGTGAGTGATGATAATTTCTAATCATAGGTCAAATTACCAAATCTATCAGTTTAATATCACTTAAATGATGAAATCCCTAACATTGAGTTAGTGTATATTCTAGTATAAAGTTTCTAAATTAACCCAGGATTGATAGTTCAACTGATGACGATTACTGTAACTTAGCATTCATATTCTCAGTCTTCTCAGGGGTGAATTAATGGATTCTATATTCTCAAGACAATATGATGATAACTAAGAGCGATTCTCACACATATAAAAAATGAGTTCTATTAAATACAAAACTGCAAATGTTTAAAATAATTATCTCTGTGTGGTTCTCTGTGTGTTTGTAACTGTTTCTCTATTTCAGAATTTTAGTACAAAGTGCTACACTGGGCTATCCGTCTCTAATTTCGAGCTGACAGACTAGAGGGAAGGCAGCTGGTCAACAGCACCTACCTCAAATTCTTGGGTTACGTTTGGCTGATCAAATAGCGGTATTTGAGAGTTACTCTTGTAAGGTACCCACGGCCCCAAAGTGCAGAACCGTAACGGGTCACCTATCATGAATCCTCAGGTTCATAAGTGGAGCCAGCTAACCACTAGGCGACGCCCGGATACTAGTTTCTGACTCGCTGTAAATTCAAAAATTGATAAATTAAGATGGTTTTGAGGCTCTCCCCCAGTAAAGTTTTATACAAATTATTTTGAAATTTGAAGTTTCTCTCGATATTTACGATGAAGTATCGCGTATTTTATTCTCTTTCCTGGCTACATTCATCTATCACAGATTTGCTCAGTTAAGAAACAAACAATTTGTGCGCATGCTCACACATACTTAAGAATGAATTGTTTGCTGATTAGAGAATAACAGTAAACAGCTGTATTTTCAGTTTTACAATATTCTCACCTCTGCTTTATGTTTGTACCTTTTAAAGGTTTTACTCGCATAAGGGTCTCACACAGAGCTGTAAATGCTACAGGAAAGAATAAAAATGTAGTTGATAGAAAGAAAACACCCCGTTCCACCAAACATGCCCACCCTTTCAGCCGTGGGGGCGTTATAATGTGACTGTCAATCCCACTATTCGTTGGTAAAAGAGTAGCCCGAGAGTCGGCAGTGGGTGGTGATGATTAGCTGCCTTCTCTCTAGTCTTACACTGCTAAATTAGAGACGGCTAGCGCAGATAGCCCTCGTGTAGCTTTGCGCGAAATAAAAAAAAACAATAAACAAACAGAAAGAAAATATAATCTTATGCACACGGTTATAGATGTCTTCAAGACAAATAGGTTTAGTTACGACTTCTGAGGTCAAAGTTTTAGTCCGAAATAAGATGATCCATGTTTCATGGACTAATGGTTTAATTGTGTGTGTTCTTAATCTTTTAGGGATGGAGTAATGGTTAAATTGTGTGTGTGTTTTTCATTTTTTAGGGATGGAGTAATGGTTTAATTGTATGTGTTCTTAATGTTTTAGGGATGGAATAATGGTTTAATTGTGTGTGGTTTTCATTTTTTTAGGGATGTAGTAATGGTTTATTTGTGTGTGTTTTTCATTTTTTAGGGATGGAGTAATGGTTTAATTGTGTGTGTTTTTCATTTTTTAGGGATGGAGTAATGGTTTAATTGTGTGTGTTTTTCATATTTTTTAGGAATCAGCAATATATATTATAGGACGAAATTCAAACTCATTTATATCTTTTTTTTTCAATTGTAATTCGATTGACATAACATGTTCTTGCAAATATTGCCCACTGCAAACAAATTACTTTCGTAAAAGAGATGTACACGACCATACACGTATCGTTTCTGGTTATTCTTAATCTCATGCCAATACCATAACGCGGTATTAGGAAGAATCCCTTATTTTTGTGATGTGATCAAAAGCCAACACAGATTGTGCTGAGCACAATCAGCATGCGAAGCATGCTTATGTTACGGGGGTCTGGGGGCATACCCCCAGAAAATTTGTAAAAAAAATCGGTACTGTGAGATTAAGTTTAGAAGCAATTTTGCATGGAATATAGCTTAAACAATCGCATGGCCTTTCACATAAGACCCACAAACATCCAATGAAAAGTCAACAAGCCATCATTCTGCTGTAAAACTGCTTGGGCAGCTAGACTTAAATTAGCATAAACATGTATGTTTTATGATAATAATGTACTGTACTATCTACATACAAAGTAGTTATTAAATATTAAATTATATTATTAATTTAAACAATTATGTACAACAGTAGTGTATTAGCTATTTCAAACATTGACTATCATATACGTACATATATGCACAACTGAAATAACATGTTAGCATGCTCCATTCTTTTGGGGTGCTTTTCCATAAATATCTGACACACAGTTTCAATGTTGATAGCAGTGCCATAATGATTATGTATTAAAGCTAGAGCACTCAGTCTTTCTTCGGTTTGGGTACACCACAGATAATCATTCGAACGGCGGAGAGCAGATGTCGAACGTTCATATGAACATGGACTTAGTGGCAGTATTTTATTTATATCACAAAAAAGGGGAATTCGGCCGAACCCTCTCGAAGCTCCCCCACCCCACCCTGTACGTGAATGAACTCTCATAAGTAGTGCTTATAACACAAACTAAAAGTACGCTTTGCACTCGTAATTATAGTAAAATGAGATTCGTAATATGTGTCACGTATCGATTCCACGGTTGCAAAG